CCATTTTACCACTTTAACTGCTAACGTTAAACAAGTATGGGGGGGGGGAGGGAGTTTGAAGAGATGATGGCTCAGCAGTTAAGAGCACTGGATGATCTCCCAAAGGACCCAGGTTCAGGTTCAGTTCCTAGCACACACATGGTGGTTCACAACAATCTGTATCTGCAGTTCCAGGGAATCAGACTTCTTCCTCTAGTATCTGCAGCCACCAGGCTACATATGCGGTGTACAAAGGGGAAAAAGTACCCAAAAAAAAGAAAGGAAGAAAAAAGAAGGAAGAAAGAGAGGGAGGAAAAAGAGAAAGAAAAAAAGTAAAGAGAAAGAAAAAAAAAGAGACGGGAAGGAAAGGAAGAAGGGGGAAAGAAGGGAGAAAAGTGAGAGGGAGGAAGTTTAGGAAGGAAAGAAAGGGAGGAAAAGAAGAAAGGAAAATGGGAAGAGGAAAAGAAAAAGAAAGGAAAGGAAGACAGGGAATGAAAAGAACGGAAGACATTTTAAATAAAGGGGAGGGACTAGAGAGAAGGTTCAGCAGTTAAGAGCACTTGTTCTTGCAGAAGACCCAAGTTCAGTTCCCAGCACCTACATGGAGAATGACAACCATCTGTGTCACTCCAGTTCCAGGAGATCTTCTTTTTACCTCTGCAGGCACCAGGCATGCACACGGTGCACTATATACAGGCAGGCAAAACATTCATACACATAAAATAAAATCATCTAAAAAATGTTTTTTTAAAATAGAGTATCAGGGGCTAGAGCTTAGCTCAGCAGTAGAATCCTAGCCTATAAGCAAAAAAGGCCTAGGTTTGGACCCCAACACAAATAAACAAAAATACCAAATAAAGAAAAAAATCAATTAATTAACAAGTATAAATAAAGCCAAACAATAGCATCTGTGCTCTAGAAGGAATGTTTACTTGTAAATTATGAACTTACCCTAAGTGTTTAATTAGCCATTCACTGGTTTTATTCAAGCCTATTTCCTCAACACAAGACAACTGCCAAATACTATTAACTAAACAAATTCTTACTTTATAGAAAACTGGGTATCTCCATAAAAGACTTGGGAGGCAGAGGCAGATGAATCTGTGAATCTGAGGGTAATGAGAGATGCACAGGAAGACAGACTGACTGAATGTCTGTCTCTGTCTCTCTCTCTCATACACACATACACACACACACACACACACACACACACACACACACACACACCCCTGGGATAAAAGAGTAGTTATAAATACTGGTAAATTCAGGTTGGGAGAAGGGGTAAATAAGAATGACCGACCGTGTGTTCAGCAGAAGTCTTACCTCTCACTTGGTGTACAGGAGTTAGCTTTCCAGCTAGCATATCATAGACATAAAGAACCTTGCTGTGCATACTTGTGGCTAAAACCTGTTCTCCGTTAGCACTGAAACAAGCCTTAAAGATTGGAAACTTTTCCAAATAGATGCTCTGGATTTTAGGGTTTGTTTTGCCATCAACCTGTAAGAGTATGAATGTTTCCTTTGGTTATTTCCACAGACCCTGTACTCTGTACTCACTACAAGATTTCATTTAGAAATGCATACCTGAAACAATGAGATAGCATTATCTACCCCAGAGACCATCACCACCTGTGCACCAGGATGGAACTGCACTGATGATATTCGAGCAGTGGTCGGCCGTTCAGCATTGGCAGGCCGGCAGTTCTTCATCTGTGGAAATACAAAGCTGGAATTTCATCACGTCAACTGGGTTAGCATCACTTCAGGCTGCTTTCTCAACCTATGGGTTGTGAGTTTGGGGCTGGACTACCTTTTCACAGAGATGGTATATCAGATATTTACATTAAATTTGTAACCGTATTAACATTACGGTTATGAAGTAGCGATGAAAATAATTTTATGGCTAGGGATCAAAACATGAAGAACAAACTATGTTAAAGAGTCAAAGCATTAGGAAGGTTGAGAACCACTGGCTTAGAGAAAGAAGAAAAAAACATTGTCGTCTATGATGCAGAACTAAACTGTAACCAGAGGACCAGTTAGCAAGTCACTTTACTACACAGAATCCACTGCACCATCTCTGAAGTGAAGGTTGAATCACTAAAGCCTTTTGCTAAGGCTCTAGCCCGATACTCTTTATTATCACGGAAGTAGCTGGAAACCCTTGAGGAAAAGCCTAACTGCAGGAAAGGTCACTGGGGGGATGTTCCTGAGACTATACTTTCCCTGACTCTACCTGTAGTCTCTCTGCTTCCCGGCCACTCTATGCCCTCAACATGATGTTCTTCCCTACCACAGCCCAGAAACAAACATACCAGCAGACCATGGGCTCAAAACTCTGAAACTGGAGCTAACCATGGTGATACATGCCTTTAAATCCCAGCACAGACAGAAGAAGGTAGATAGCTGAGTTCTAAGGCAGCCTTGTCTACAGAGGTAACTCTGAGACAGCCAAGGCTACAAAGGGAAACCCTGTCTCAAAAAAAACAACAACAACAACAAAAAAAAAAAACAAAAACAAAAACAAAAACGTGTGAAAATAACCAAAATAAATCTCTCCTCTCTCTAAGCTGTTCTTTCAGATATTTTGTCATGGTAATCAACAGTCGGATATACCTTTCTACACATGAAAGTCTAAATTTACTAAATATTTTTTGAGTACTAGTATAAAATAATGCCCCAAAGAGGTGTCTTGGTTAAGAGACCAACACTTGCAGAGAAATTTTACTTAAAATGCCTACTTTGATGTAAGTAAAACAAGATCAATGTCACTGGCCCCACAGTTCTTCGAGTCCATATTGATTTCTATATTCCACTTAGGACACACATGACTAGTTTAAAATGATGGTGATCTCTTATGTCATTTGGACTATTCGCAGCTGCCTGTACACACACGTTAAAACTTCGTTGAGGAACAAGCAAGCATTGCTTGTGTTCAGAATCACTGAAATTAAATGTGTTCTTTTTAAATGGAGCTTCATTCATTTCTCATTTGTATTGTGTATATGAATGGTGTGTGAGCATGGATATGTGTGCCACAGAACAAGCATGTCAGTCAGAGGCATGGTGCCCTTTACAGTAGAGGTGTTTCAACTTCAAGCAACAGAACAACAGGGAGCAAGCAGGGACAGCAAGTGTCATTCTTGTCTAACTGTAACTTACATACTACTACTTCCTCTGCCCCATCTCCATAAACACAGCATTTTATAGAAAGAACACTGTTTCTTACACAGGTTTAACTTGACAGATATCTGGCTGAAGCACTGTGCTGGAGAAGCACTTGGTCACTACAGTTAATAGTTAGACAGGGTGCAGGTAAACAAAGCACCAAAATGCTACCGGGAAGAGACAAGGACACACCATAGCAGTGCCCAAGGAAGGTGAAGGCAGAAGAAAACAAGAGACAAGGTTCAAAGGCAAGAAAGGACCCAGTATATTTATGAAACACAAAGGCCTGTCTAGGCCTGAGTAACAAATCAGATAAAAGAAGTCTGAGAAGAAACTGAGGATGTGGGCATACGACCACGAAGGACAAAAACACAGGAGGTTTTAAAAAGTAAGTGATATTGACCTGAGACTATTTTTAAAAGTGGCTACACAGTGCTCTTGCAGAAGATCCAAGTCCAATTCCCAGCACCCATACCAAACAGCTCACGGCCAACTGTAATTCCAGCTCCAGTGGTATAATGCCCCCCTTTGGCTGGAAATACCTAGACTCATATGCATATTCCCTGACATACACAGATAAGTAAATAAAAAGCTCCCTCTAGTATTACTATAGTAAGAACAGTTATTGTGGGATATTGCAGGATATTTTGATCACATTGTGAACCCCAAGACTATATACAAGAAAAACCTGTTTCCAGTTGTGGTATAGCTCAGCCCTAGTACACACCTTTAACCAAGACTTTCCTGTAAACAGGATTAAGTAAAGTCAACCATAGGTCAAGAAGCAGAGCAGGCTACCAGTTGACAGGGAGTGAACATGGGGGAAAAAAAAAGAGAGAGAGAGAGGAGGAGAAAAAGACACACAGAAGTAGAAAAGAGGGACTTTGGGTTAAAGGATTTTTAAGACATCGTGGAGAAAAAGAAGGGACTTTTTCCTTCTGGGACAAGTCAGCTGAGCAGGAAGATCAGCTGGATGCTTTCTCTGCCTCTCTAAGCTAACAGGCTTTCACCACAGCATCTGGCTCCTGAGTCCTTATTGGTAAAATAGATTGTTTGGGGTTTTGTTTAAAAACAACAGTTCAGGATGATTTACAGTGGACACAGAGAGCCCAGTCACATAACCACTGAAGCAGGCTGACTGAGATGGCAGCAGGAGACTACTACCCATAGAAACCAAACAGGGTCCCTATAAGCAGTAAGTAGGACATACTTAAGTAGCTCCCCATTATTTCTACAAAAGAAAAACCTAACAAATACTTATTAAAGCAAAATGACAGCAAAAAACCAACATACAAGCGGTATCCATAGTTGTATGGTATCCATAGAAAGCAGACTGGTTTTCATAGGTCAGTAACTGGACAGGTCCCAATTTCAGTAACTCTCACCTTCAAGATTCCTCTTGGAAGAGAAGTGGATGTGGATATGAAATTCCCAGTCCTTTGCAACAAATCATCTTCATCCTCTTCACTTTCATCTGAGTCAGATAAACCCACAAAGCTAATCTTTAGAATCAATCAGAAGGCCCTTCACTAACCCAAACTTCTCTTTTTCTAAATCCAACTCCCATCCTAGCTTCTCAATCTCAACTGCTTTTTGAGCTGAAAATGGTAAAAGCAAAACACACACACACACAAAAAAAGATGACACTGCACTTTATATATATATAGTAAAATTAAAGCTTTCCTGGGAAGGAAGACTCATACACAGATGGATACTAAGATGAAAGAAGATCAAGTTTAAAAAAAGCCAGCATTTCATTTAAAAAGAGCAACTCATAATTATGGCAAATAGCAACAGGGCAGACAGAGATATAGCTTAACACTATGAAAAGCAAGATCAACGCCAGCCAATGGTGCATAAGCACCTCAGTGAGGGCTAATAAGATGGCTAAGTCTTATATCAGTTTCATGCCCAGGATCCACATGGCAGAAGAAGAGAACTGGTTGCCACAAGCCATCTGAGTTCAAGACCAGCATAAACTTCATGAAACTCTGTCCCAAAATAACAAAAAATAACCAAATGGAAATTCTAGAACACAGTAATTAAAAATTTAGCCTCCAATGGATGTTTTTAACAGTGTCCCAAAATTGGCTGACAGATTAAAAAAAAAAAAAAAAAATCCAGACTACAGTACAGGGAAAATACAAGTGGCCTGAGCCTACCCCAGCACTCCAGTGGCAGAGGCAGAGGCAGGCGGATCTCTGTAAGCTCAAGACCACTTTGGTCTATAGAGCTCACTCAGTTTCCTGGCAAAATCCTGTCTGAAGCATGCACGAGTAGTATGTATCACTTCCAGGTGAAGCCAATAAAAAGAAGTTAATAAGTTTGAAGATATATAATAGATTTTAATTCTGTTTTATAACTGCACACAAATGAGATCTTGATTAAAACCACCTATTTATAGAATCTAAACTCAGAGTTTAAAGTAGGAAATATTTGATAACACAGGCAATCTAAAAACCTGCAGTTTCTATATTATCATCTGGGCTTGGTCTGACATCTGCTCCAGTGACAGATGTCCCTTTTCTGGGTGGACAGCCAGCTTAGTTACAGGTATCTTCAGAAAGGGCCCTGAACCAAGTGCTACTCATTTTTCCTTAATCTCATGCCCTAAAATAAAACAGTACTGTCAAGAAAGCAACAAAATTCATCTACCCTCTATTTTCTTTACAGTAAATAAGATGCTACAGGTTGACTATCCCTTGTCTGAAATGCTTAGGACCAGAAGTGTTTTGGAGCATAGGTTCCAAGTACCTGCATATATATGATAAAGTAACTCAGGAATGACCCAAAGCTAAACATGAAATTCATTTGTTTCATATATACCTTTTACATACTGCCTGATTTTACTGATATTTCTGATAATTCAACAGTTTCATAGTATATAATTTCCCACTCCTGGCTTCAAAAAGCCAGTGCTCCAAAAGTTTTACATTCTAAAACATTTCAAGTTTCAGCCTAGGATGCCCAACCTGTATTAAATAAGTCTATGCTATCAAAAACAGGGACTTCCCTCAGAGAAATAGCAGACTTTAAATCCAACATAAATGAGGAAGGCTCATTTAAAACAGATCATTTTTAAAAGCCTGGGAAAACTCCAATAAAATCATAACACAGAAACTTAATAGCTTAGAGACATCAACACTCACCATCTGAAGACATTCTCCGCTTGCTCCCAGTCTCTGCCCAATCAGGTACTCCTCCCATGGCATGCTGGAATCTAAGAAAAACAAAGATCCTGTGGTAACACTGACTCTAGATGGATTTGACCACCCTTTAGAGTATATATAAAATCTCTTCCAAAATTAGTACCTTTAAAAACAAAAAGCAGGATTTACTCACACAGAATGCTCCCAAGCTCTCTATGCTGCAAAATCAGGAACTTCTGTCCACAGAAACCAGCACTAGATACACTGCTCCTCAATCCATATTTGTTGTTCAATTTACATTCATTACTGGTAAGGTTGCTCTTACCAGTTCATTATAGACATTTGGAACTACGTATTTTCTTTGTAGTTATAAACCAATGCCAGAATACAAAGATTCATAAACAACATGTTTGAAAGAAATATGTCTGAAAACAAATGACTAGAATACAAAAAAATTCACCAGTCTCATTCAGGCCCAGTGGCACAGCTCTGTAATGGCAACTGTATGGGAGGCTAGGGGAAGAGGATATTAAGTATGAAACCTACAAATACTAGAGGGAATCCCAGGTGCCATCTTGGTCAACTAAGGAAAAGTCTGTCTCAAAATAAAGGAAGGGACAGGCAGGAATAGTATAGTGTCAGTATATATCCTCAGAAATATAGTGCTTACCCAGCACGCCAGAAGGATTTTTGTAAAACACTAACTGGGCCAGGCATGGTGGCACACACTTAATCCCAGCACTCAGGAGACTGACGCAGGAGTCTGAGGACAGCCTGGTCTACACAACAAGCTCTAGGATAGCTAGCAGTACATACACAAAAAGACCACATCTCAAAAAGCAAAAATTTAAAAATTAAATTAAAAAAAACACTATATTTGAAATTTTATTATTAAAGTCCTATTATACATAGGGCCTGAACCCAATTCACAGTACCATATAAAAACAGGTGTGGTTCCACATATTTATACTCCCATCACTTGGAAAATGGAGGCAGAAGAATCAAAGTTCAAGATCATCTTTAGCTATATAGTGAGTCTAAGACCATCCTGGGCCATAAGAGCCTGGAGAAGACGATTTAAGACTTCTTTGGGCTATACTTGCCACTAAGCCTAATGACTTAAGTTCAATCTCTGGCACCCACATGGTGGAAGGAAAGAACTGACTCCAGAAAGACACACACAATAGTGAATGTTGGGGAAAAAAAAAAAAAAGGTAGCAAAATCAGTATCATGTTAAAAAAAAAAAAAAAAAAAAAAAAAAAAAGAAAAAAAAAGCAATAAAGTTTTAAAAGTATGTTGGTTTAGAGTAAGAGCCAAAAGAACTTGATAATGACTGGTTAGCTACTACTTTCTTAGGTATGACACTGACTATGCAAGAAAGTCTCCTTAATCTTACGGTGACTGACACACACTGAGAAATTCAGGCATTAAGTGTCACATTATCCACATCTCTCTCTCACAAACTAAAAATACAAATACTCAAATACTTACATGAGTCACCGTAATACCTACTTTTCATGGTATGTGTGTATATCTATATATAAAGATACATATAATAATAATAAATAAATAATAAATTCACACATGCCTAACATTGTATATGACTTTTCGGCTGTTACAGCCAAAAACAAAGCAAAGATAAACAAACAGCTGTTTATTCACCTCTTGGTATATCACAGAAAAAAGGATACTTACTCTTCTTTAAGCCTCTTTTGAAGCTTATCTTTTGTAAGTTTACTTTCGCTGGCATTTTTCATTATATCTTTCCGAAACCGATTGTTCATCATATCAACTCTGAAATAAAGAACAAGCATATTTTAAATGACTCAAAGGTCTGACTATCTGAAACTTGAAAATCTCTGTGCAAAAGAAGTGACAAAGTCAGGTGTAAGAAGTATGGCAGTGACCCACGCCTTTAATCTCAGCGCTCAGGAGGCAGAAGCAGGCAGGTCTCTGAGTTAGAGACCAGCTTGGTCTATACAGAAAAACCTTGTCTCAAAAAACAAAAAGGAAAGGAAAAAAAAAGGTGAAAGAAAATATGCAGTAAATATGGAGGAGGGAATTTTAAAGGGCAATAGCAACTTTATGCTTAGCATGTATAGACCTGGGTTCAATCTATAGCAAATAAAAGTTTGAAATCCTTAGCATGTAAGAAATCTGAGACAATAAGATCTCTAAGCCAGGTGTGGTGGCTTATGCCTATAATCCCAGCACTCAGGGAGGTAGAGGCAGGTGGATCTCTGGGAGTTCAAGGACAGCCTGGTCGACCAAGCAAGTCCAGGAGAGCCAAGGCTACACAAAGAAACCCTATATCAAAAAACAAAAACAAAACCTCTAATAAATAAAAATAAAAAAACATATATAGTACACACATATAACACCTATCAATTTGGCGCAACAAAATTGTTTTATCATCAAACTAAGAAAGTCTGCAAAACAATGAAAACCCTCACTGATTATATTTTTAAAAGATTGAAATCCACACTTTATAGGAAGAAGATAAACCTTTAGTCTCTGATCAAACACTACCCCCAAATAACCTTTAAGAAATTAATTACAACTACAAAAAAACTTTATTCATAAAAATTTTATGCTGGTATTCTTAAATAGAAAAAAGATCATTTGTTTAGTAAATTTGTATTTGTTTTGTACAAGGGACAACTTCCCTTCCAATACAGCTTTACAAAGAAAAAGTAAAACTATTATTTAAAGTGAATATGCAGTATATGCTCATATTAAATACAGTGTGCTAGCTTTATTTGAAGCTCTCAGTTTCAGGCACCATGCTAGAAATTCTATATGTATCATTTAATCCAATGGCCTTGTGCTATAGTTACTTTTCTTACCCTCATTTTACAAAGTAGCTTCCAACTGTCCAGTTAGAAAGGCATGCTAAGAGGAAACACCAATGATTACTTAGGCAGTATATCCAGCACTTAAGAGACAGTGAATGACCACTCAATATAACAGTGCCTTTCTCTCAGATACAGAATCATAACCACCTTTCTCCTGAGCTTTCATATAATCATACTTTCCAAGTCAATCATTTGTAAAAATCTCCAAATTAACTTTTAAAGTGTCAGGGGGATTCTGAATGGAATTGGTAACTTACATTTCCTCTTCCTCATCATCTTCATCCACCCAAACTGGCTTCTTCTTCTGAGGAAGATTATCTTTCGTTTCATTTTCCACTTCCGAGTCATCTGAGCTTCCATGCAGTTGTCCCTACAGAGACAAACCAACTTCAGGTCACTGCGATTTTCCTCTGAGGTAGTGGTCACTGCGATTTTCCTCTGAGGTAGTGGCAGACACCAACCCCATAACACCTAGATGGCTTGTAGAATGTTCTGCTTTTCTGGTCTGCTGAGGAAATAATGTGATGGAATACCACGTAGCACATGCTGAAGGAGAAAGATGGAAAGAGCAGACCCACTAGGGGGAGGAGAACAGGGGGCAAAGCAGGATGGGACAGCCACACAGAGACAAGAACACTGAAAGCTAAAGACCACAGCAGACAAGGGGAAAAGGTAAGTGGACAGATAAAGAGCAAACATCAAAACTTTATTACTGAACCCACGATGTCTAGAATCCCACACAACATAATCTGTGTTTCACAGCCAAATTAGGAAGATCTTTTGTTCTATGTGCTTAGTTTTGACCTCCCTAAAACTTACAGCGCACTCAGAAATAGCTCTCAAAAACAAACACGTAAGTGAAAATGATCCCCTTGAAATGAGCTGAGCTTTTCCCCAACCCACAGTGTCCTCGTAGTCCTACACTTCTGATACAAGATCTTTCAGAGCCCAACAAAGGATTCCTTCAGATACAGAACTGTTCTCCACCTCCCAAAGGAGACTGCTGCAGCTTTCCATCGAAACACGCACACAAAAGGTTAATTCAGCAAACACTGAATCTCGTTGAGGCTTTCTACCACCCCATCTAAAAGAGGTCTCCTTCATAAACATTTAATTCCCTTTCCCAAATGTTGTCATTTTTCTTCTCCACCAACACAAGCTCCAAGTGAGGAGGGGGTTTTGTTGGCTTTCTCCAGTGCTGTGTCTCCTTCCTGTGCCTAGGACAATGCCCGAGGTTCACTATCTTAGTTAATACAGAAGAAAAGTAATGACAGTGCAGAAATCACCAATCACGAAGGATCTGCAATTGCTACGAAGAGTAAGATTCCGAAGAAATGCTAGAAATGAATACACTGATCATTCTCAAAAGTTGGGCGTGGAAATATTAAAACGCAAGCTTTAAGCTTTCTGTCCACGTATCGGTTCCATCCACGAAATGGAACCGCGACAGGTGACCAAAAGCCCACCGCCGTGGTTCCAGCAGAGGGTACCAGCACCCCAAGATGCCCGACCCCACTGCAAATCAAGCCGGCAGCTGAGCGCCTGCTGGACGCGAGGTGCGGCAGCCCCTTCGGGGCGGAGAAAGGCAGCGTCTCCGCCCTCGCCGGCTCGCAGGCCCCAGCGCCGGAGGCGGAGAGCGCCCCGGCGCCCCTCGGCGCCCGCGGTCGCCGGTCCCTCCCACCTGAGCGCCCGGCGCCACAGGTCCCCCCCCAGGCTCCGCCCCCGGGGCCTCGCCTCCCGCCGCGCGCCCGGCTCCGGAGCGTGCGCCCGCTCGGCGAGCAGGCCTTCCCTCACCCGCGAGCTCCCCAGCCGCCGCAGCAGCGCGTCCTCGTCGCCCTCGACGTCGCCGAAGACAAGCTGCTCCAGGCACCGCTCGGCGGCCGGCTTGTCCAAGTCTTCGAGCGTCAAGCGGTTCCGCTGCCGGAGCCGGCTCTCCTCCTCCTCCGCCGCCGCCGCCGCCGCCGCGGTGACCGCGCTAGGGGCCGCCCTCGGCCCGGCCGGCTGCGTCCGTTGGGATGAACCGGCGGACTTCCGGGGCGTCCTGCCGCTCCCGGGTCTGGCTTTCCTCCCCGGCGTCGCGCCGGCTCTCCGAGCTGCCTTCGTCCGGCTCCGGCGTTCGGGCGGCATCCTCGGGTCTGAGGAGAAACGCACACGTTCACGTGGAGCGCCACTGCGCATGTGCCAGCGCTTCCTGCCCGTCGCCGCGGCCCGGCCCCGGGGAGCCGGAAGGAGGCTGCGCCGCCGCGCGCCACGTGACCGGCACTCACGCGCTACGTCACTCCCACTCCGCCCGGCGGCCCCGCCCCGTGTGGGAGTTCCTCTGGGAAGGCCAATCTTCCGGGTGTAGGGGGAAGCGGCGTGACTGGAGTGGAAATTTTCCCCGACACAACTTCTCAGAGGCAACCTACTGGAAGGGACCCAAGACGTCCGGAGGACAAATGAAAGCGGCCGAAAGGAACTTGTCTCCCTGCGGACTCTGAGCCCCGCGCCCTGCCGCGAGCCCTCATTACCTCATCGCCTGCTGCTCTTGGTACGGTCCTTAGAGTACGGAGCCTGCAGAGGGTCCCACGCTGGAGGGGAGAGAGGAGGGTACGTGGGGAAGTGGGCCAATCGGGGCGCGGGTCACGGCGCAGGCGCGCTGGGGAGGGAGGGCTATGCTAATGTTGTTGATATCCTGGGGCCACCCGAGTTAAAAGGGGGGAAATCCGGGGGCTGCCGCCGCCGCCACTGGCCCGGGTCCAGCTGGGGGTCCCCCCCAGTGTAGTCGCCGCAGTCCCGGGGAGAGGCGCCCGCCCCCTGCTCGGGGGGGAGGGGGCGCCGCGGGCTCGGGGAGCACGGACGGCCCCTACCCATGAGGCCCTGATGGAAAACACAAAGGATCTGGTGAGAGCCGAGCGCAGCAGCCGCTTTGTGTGCCAGGTGGGGGGGGGGACGCCTGCAGCTGCCCGGCCCCAGGAACCCCGCAGCTCCGGGACCCCGCTCGCGGGCCTGCTGCTTCATCCCACGCCCCCTCCATCTCCGGAGCTCCCCTCCCCCTACTGGCCGTTAAACGTTCAGGAGTTCCCCTCCCCCCTCAACCCCTGACTTGGGGTTCTCTCTTACTGCTCTTAGGGAGAAAAGAAATGAGAAGAAAGTTTCTCTCTGCCCCTCTCCAGCCTTGTTCTGGCTGAAGAGAGAGAGTGGATTGGAGACTTTTTTTTTTTTTTTAAGCTGCCAACGGTGGGAGAGTGGTGTCCTCATGTCCTCCTTCTCTGGGATGTGGGGGCAGGCGCAGACAGAGTTTAAGGGGCTTTGCAGGGAAGGGAGCCCGCTATGGGGCCTGTGCCGTGAGGCATTTTGCACGTGGAGGTGCTGATGTTGAAAGGGGGCGGGGTGGGCTCGTGTGGGAGGGAGACGTAGGAGTGGTGTCGGGGAGTCAGCCGCCCAGGCTGCTGCTTCAGAAGGGTTCCAAGTCGGTGGGCTTTCCATCCTCCTTACGTTCTCCTTTGTGAAATAGAAATCCTAACATTTCAGAGTCGGAAGAGACACTAGAAGTCACCCAAAGCAGCTGCCCCTGTCCAGCTTCTGGCGAGTGGTAGGTAGTCTGACCTCTGCTTAACCCTACATACATAGAAACACGCACTACAGCCCAGGAAAACTGCCTTCTGTTTGTTTGTTTTTCAGTCTTCCTGATCCTCGTTTGCTTGCCCTTATTCGACCCTCCAGTCTCATTCATGTCCTGATTAAGTTGCTCCCTTTTTTTACTTCTCAAATTTGTTCTCACATCCTCCTCACCCACCCACTGCTCATTGGCCTATATTTTGTGCGCCAGGAAAGAACAGCAGGGAAGTGGAGGAAGGGGGATGGGCCGAGAGTTAAGAGATAAGTGAAGGCCAGCTGAAAACTTTGCTGGGGCAGTTGCAGGTGTGCTGCGTACATGAGTGCTGATAGTTGATGCTCTTCCCCGGGAAGCTAGATGATTGCTATGTAGGGATTTCGTGGCCGTTTCCCTAGTATTCCTCTTTGAGATTAGGAATGTTTTCCAGCCAACTTCTTAAGACTGTCAGTGTACATTTGCCTTTTGCCTGAATCGCTTTTCATAAGAATGCCTGAAATTGGGTCCGGGGAAGGATCGAATAGTGTTAAAGCTGATAAATTCAATACCTTGGAGACAAATAATCAAAATGTTTCCTTCCCATCATTTTGACTTGTGGTCTTTGCATATAATGCCCTCTCCAAAAGGGAAGGTCCTACCTCATAATTTTTTTTTTTTTAATGTTCATTTATGGGGTAGGACAGCGTGTGTGTGTGTGTGTGTGTGTGTGTGTGTGTGTGTGTGTATCAGAGGACAGGTTGAGGTAATCATCTTACATTCTGCCGTGTGGAACTCAGGTCATCAAAGTTGGCAGCAGGGGCCTTTACCTACCTGCCTACCTTCGGAGCTGTCTCCTCTCTCTCTCTCTCATTGTGAGAATTCTATCTTAAATGAAAAGAGCTATTTATAACACTCTCATGTTTAATTTTGAGTTTTCAGTATTTTTAATCCTCCCTACATTAATAAACTCCAGAACTCGTCAGTTGTTCACTTGCAGATACATATTGGCACCCATTGATATTCCTAATTCCTAGTAGCCTCCTGACAGAGGCTTCTTCAAACGTCCTTCTCCTCCCCACCCTAGGATAGAGGCTGTTGCTTTGCTCTTGGTGTTTCAGACTGTTTACCTCAACACCAAAGAGTGTTTAGAAAGAAAATAGCTGATTTTTGCACCACCTCCTCTGAATAACAAGTGGCTTCTATTTATATAGAACCCCATATTCAAGGATTGCAGATGTCTTGCAGATTAGGGCAAAAAGCTGTCTTGAATAAGTGTCTGTTCATGTTTTCTAGCGAGCCAAGGTTTTTAACCATTTTATGACTTCATGTGAACATTTTCTCTCAGGGCTCCTCAGTGTTTTAATGTGGATTTGAATTCTAGCTTTGAAAATATACATAGCTTTTTACTCCCATCTTCAAAGTTTTAGTCAGTATGGAGTCCAAGGTTTTTTTCTACTAACTTTAAACGTGAACTGTCATGACATAGCTTGACTGACTTTGGAAGCATTTGCATTCTAAACACGAGACAGGAACAACTGGTTTTATTTTTAAAGAGGGCATTACTGTGTTTTTATGGTTAGCTTTATATGGATCTTATTATCTTAGTCTTCCAGATACTCGGGTGTTCCTCCTTGTCCCTCAGTTACTTTTGTAAATAAAGCAAATTATTTTAAATTATGTTAGAAATATTGAAACTAAGGGAAAATTGCAGTTTATGGGTAAAAACAGCATATTGATGTCATAGCCATTAAAGTACTAAATTACTGAAAGCCTGGAGTGCTCAGGTGATCTGACTAACCACATTCTAAAATTAGGGAAGTCAGCTGTTTTGAATTGCTCCTTATTTCTCATCTTTTCATCTTTAAAATTGTTCCCGTGTCTATCTAGGCCAAACAACGCTGCATTCCTCTAATCTTACCACACAATGGAAAGAATGTACAGCTTTGGTTGGGCTATATAGTAAAATCCCCATTTCACGACAACAAGATTTAACCTTCCAAAGAAAATTCAAAGGCAATAGGTCATTTTTAGTCTTAGGGTTTCAAATACATGACAGATAAAAAGCGTACAGAAGAAAGATTTTAAGTAGTTACAAGCTTATATTTATCTTCTAATAAGGGATTCTTAAAGGTCCCAGGTAACTTTTATTTTACTGAAAATACATGTTTTATTTCTAGTTATTCTGGAGGGTTTTTTTTTTTTTTTTAGATAGAGTCGCCTGTATTCCTTCCTGGCCTGGAACTCATTGTGGTTCATAGGCATGTACCACCATATCCATTGTATACAGTGATGGAGATTGAGCCTGGGACTTTGTGTGTACTAGATAGATACTGACACTGCACCCCCAGCAGCTTACTGTTTTTTGTTTCTTTGTTTTAAGAGTTATTTATTATGTATACAATGTTCTGCCTGCATGTGCCCGCACAGCAGAAGAGGCACTAGATCTCACTATAGATAGTTGTGAGCCACCATGTGGTGGCTGGGAATTGAACTCAGGACTTCTGGAAGAGCAGCCAGTGCTCTTAACCTCTCTAAGCCATCTCTCCAGCCCCAGCTTACTGTTTCTTAATAAATCTTTTTATGAAGGATTCCCCCCCCCCCCCATAAATCTACAGTTTCTCTTCTGGCTTGGCTAGATAATGAAGTGTGAGATGGCTATAAGTCCACTTGAATAAAGCCAGATTGTAAGAAAGGGGTGTAGTGATAATCAGGGCACACTGTCAGAAGAGGCTTGAGCTGCACTGCTGCTACTGTCCAGCTCTGTGGCCCTTTTGGATGGCATAAAATGCCTTAGTTTTCTCATAGTTGAAGGAGTGGCATAGAACTTTCTGCAGTGGTGGAAATCCCTGTGTTCTGTGCTAGCTAGTATGGAAGCCATCATCCACAGTGGTGGTTAAGCACTTAAAATGTAGCTAATGGATAGAGACATTCAATATTTTATATTGTTTTTACTTGATGTCAGTTTAACCAGCCATATCTCTTCCAAATTGGAGATGCAGATATTCAAACAATGTAATCACTAGGTTCATCTCTTGAAGGCTAGTTTAAAATGCACCTTTCCTGCAGGTAGTTATTCAGTAGGCCTATGGTAAGTCTGATAACTCGTTTATCTAGTTTGGTCTCTCTGTCTTTCCCTGCCTCTCTCTCTCTCACACATCTGTGTCTATGTGTCTGGTACACAGGCATGCATGTATGTGGAACTCAAAAGTTGGCATTGGGTGTTTTCCTCTTACATTCTGAGACAGAGTCTAACTAAAGACCCCAGGGATTTGCCTGTCTCCACTCACCAGCTGTGGGATTAGAAACATGCTGTTGTAACCATCTTGGTTTTAGTGCTTGGGCAGCAGGCGCTTTACCACTTTCCCAATCTAGTTAGGAGTTTGGAAACAAAGTCTCATTTTGTAGACTAGGCTGGCTTTGAACTTGTGTTTCCATCAGCTTCCATGGGGCTGGAGTTTTGTGTGCACCAGGCCCTGCCAGGAAACTATTTAATGTGTGTCCAGATGAATTAAAGAAACACTTAAGTTTGATTATGAGCTCCTTTATGCTTTTCACTCTGACTTGAGTATTAATTTAGAACTTAGTGTAGTAAAAATAAGGACGAACAAAATGGGCAAACTGGTTGGGCACTAGCTCTGAATTCATTCATTCATTCACCCATTTATTTTATTTTTAAGGCAACTTGCCTACTGTCTTAGAGCATTGATTTCTTCATCTGAAATATGGGGTGAGAATCAAGTCTTAATCTTTTCATAGGTTAGAAAATTTGACTTGAAGTAATAGTCCACAGTGAAAATATAGACGTGGGAGCTAGAGAGATGGTTTACCAGTTGAGAGCACTGGCTGTCCTTTTCAGGACCCAGGTTTGGATCCCAGGTCCTACATGGTGGCTCAGAGCTCATCTGTCCCCCCCCAGTTCCAGGAAGCCAACACCATTTTCTGGACTCCACAGACACCAGGCACACAAGTAGTGCACAGACATACATGCAAGCAAAACATTCATACTCATAAAATAAATAAAAATTTTTGAAAGGGTTCAGGCATGGTGCCATGCATATTTAATCCCTACACATACAGGGCAGAAGCAGGAGGATTTCTGTGATTTTTGAGGCCAGCCTGGTCTACATAAGCAAACTCCAGGCCAGCCAAGACTACATAGTTGAGACTCTGTCTCAAAAAAAGAAAAACATTGGTGCAGTAAAATAGATTACTTCTATGTAAAGCCAGGTATATGGTGATATATGGCTGTGATACCAACACTCAGAAGGCCAAGTCAGGATTTCCAAGTTAACATCCAGCCTTACCTAATCAGACTTTGTCTTTAAAAGTGAAAAAGAAGGGCCGGAGAGATGGCTCAGAGGTTAAGAGCACTGTCTGTTTTTCCAGAGGGTACTGAGTTCAATTCCCAGCAACCACATGGTGGCTCACTATAATGAGATCTGATGCTGTCTTCTGTCATGCAGGCATACATGCAAACAGAGGTTCAGATGTGTAAGTAATCTTAAAAAAATAAGAAGTCTTACCTCTAACTTTAAAAAAGTGAAAAAGAAAAAGTAAATATTAATCTAGGTGTTTACACCCAAATACTAGGAATATTGCCACAAGTTCAAGACCAACCTAAACTATAGAGTGAGACCATGTCTGAAGCAAAAAAATAAAAAAGTGGGGCTTGTAGAACAGGCCTATAATCCCAACTATTCTAGAAATTATAGCAGGACAAATAATTTCAGTGCCTGTCTACAAAATGAGTTTAGGACCTGCCTGAGACCCTACATAATTAATAATATAAGAAGTAGTAGAAGCCAGGCATAGTGACTCATTCCTGTAGTCCCAATTCTGAGACAAGAAGACTGCCACAGGTTTGAGGCCATAGTGGGTTACAGAATAAAACCATATCTCAAAAGATACGATTTTTTTTAAATAATAATACTTTTTATGTATACAGAACATAAATTAATTTTTAATGTGCTTAGATTTGGGCCTCTTCCCCCAAGAAAACT